TTTTTTTTTTTTTTTTTTTACAATAAATTGGGCTTTTCTGGGGAGCCTTCTGGTGGCTCTACAAGGAGCTCTGCTGTGTCTTCCTCATGCCGGCAGGACTGGAGAGGTGGCTGCTGTGGGCAGGCGCTGGGCCCGCCTGCTGCTCAACACCCTCCTGTACCCCCTTGTTTTCCCCAACGACCCCCAAGTCAGGCTTGGGGAACCGAGTGCAGGGGCCCAAGGAGGTCCCGGCTCCAGCTTTGTCATGGGGAGAGCAGCAGTGGGGCCCCAACCTTCAAGCTCTGCTTGGGCACTGGGGATCAGCCGAGTGTTCCTGTGCTTGGTCCTTTGGGTGATCAATCCTGCTGCTACCTGGAGCCAGACATTTGGAGCCCAAGAAACCTTCACTTCCCCCAGCAAATCCCACTGCAATTGTACGTATATCTAGTGCATTTAGATTGGTAAAAGTGCATCAGACTCAAATAACCAGAGAAAAGAAATACAAATTTTATTATTTTTTTTTCTTTGCAATACAATGCACTCTCTTAGCAGAGCAAATTAGAAATACAGAGCTATTTCCTACCAGCAAGAGGACGACCTAGAAACAAGAGACTTGCTTTGAAGCTTCGAAACCTGATACGACTGCAGAACACGGAGGATGAAGGGGACCATGTGAGGATGAAGGGGACCACAGGAGGATGAAGGGGACCACGGCTTCCTTGGTTGATGAGGCGTCCCGGAGCACTCCTGCTGCTGAGCAAAGCAAACACCTCCCGTCACTGCTGGCAAAGCTGCTCACAGGAGGCCTGGGGACTGCAGGTGCCATCGTGGAGGCCCAGGATGGCTGAGCTTGGAAGGGACCTCTAGAGATCTTCTAGTCCTGTAGTGTGGGAATGTGGAGGGAGAGCGGCCCACCAGCCAAGACGACGTATTTGTGAGCAGGGGTGACCGCCAGCGACCAGGTTTGCACCCAGCCGCACTGGGGACAGGGTGCAAAGGCCCCTTCCCAATGGCTGGGTCTTCCCTAAGCAACGGAGGCCGTTTCCAACCTGTCACMTCCCAGGAGAGCCAGCTGCAGCTTTGCCCTGTTTTAAGATCAGCTCTCGCTTCCCTGCTGCATGAGACCCCAACCCTTCAGCACCAGCCCCTGGAGAAGCTCCGGGGAGGACCARGGGCCCTGCTGTGCGACACGGAGCAGGCTGCACCAAGGCCTCCTTGCCCCCCTGGCAGCACAGCATGGAYGTTCCTTCGGGACGTGGTTCTTCTACCCTCTAAGCCTCCCTCCAGACACATCTATTTATCCCTAGTCTAAAACCAGGAGGTGGGAAGGCCAAAACAAGCGCAAACTCGAAGGCTTTGCCAGCAGAGCAGGCCGGGGCCTCGCCGGGGTGGGACCTGGGGCTGCTGGCAGTGGTGGCAGGGGGTGCCCGGCAGTGCTGCAGTGGGCACCTCGCGTCGCGCGTGCTGGAAGCCTCAAATTAACGTGAGCACGAGATGGGAGCTGCTGCCCCCCGGGAAGGCCACGGCATCCCCGGCCGCCTAGGGACTCCCCTCAGCCCCCGGGTGTCCCCTCTCCTGGGGGGYGCTACTCACATGTCCAGCCCATGTCCCTGCCAACCACGGGAGTCACGGCCCTGCCGGGGATGCACACGGGACCCCTTGCCCTGAGGGGAGGAGTGGGGGACCCCAAAGGGCCCTGTCCCAAAGCACCCTCGCATCCCACGGCCGGGGGTCCCCCCGAGTCCCGACTGAGCGCTCCGAGCCCTGGGGCTTCACAGCCCTTCAGATCGTGCCCGTCGAGCTGCCAGGCGTCGAGTGAAGCTTCACCACGTAGCTTCACTTGCCAAAGCACCTGGTACCGGGAGCCTTTTGCCCCTGAGACGTGTGCTGCCATTTCTGCCATGCTTTTCCGTGGGTAAGAAGGGAGTTCTCCATCTATAGAGCCCCGAAATGACTGCCTGTGCTTGAGCCTTCCTCCTTGGAGAACCTTTGGCCTCCCCACTCAACTCCTTTCTCCAGTCGCCTCCAACCTGTTGAGCGTTTCCTCCTTCATGGATGTTTCTGTTGTGTCCCCAATTCATCTAGTTCAACATAAACACTTCTCGCCAGCCATCCAAGGCCTTGGAAATGATCCAGAGTCGGCCCTATTGAGATGTAGGCCGAGCTCTCTGTCTAGGCATGTGTGGCGATGGCACCAACACCCTTGGACACACCACAGCTGGAGAGATTCTGATTCCAACCCCAACTGGAGTTCTGTGCTATCTGGAAGTGAGGAGGCCAATTGAGAGAGATGTAGTAGGAGGTACTGGCGCGAGGAGTGTGTCTTCTACACGAGAAATACTTTGCTTTCAATCCCAGCCCATGCTGGGTACTGGAAATCACATTGGGTTCCAGTCTGACTGTTACAGCTCTACTATTGCTCCGAGCTTTGGCCATTTTACCAGCTGGTGAAGAGAAACAAAACCTGTGGGTTTTTCAGACCCTTTGCACRGGATTTATCGTCCCGCACTCAGCGAGTCACATCAAAGCAGCCAGCAAAGACCAGAGCCTTTGTTCACACTGAAACTGTGCCCCAAAACACATTTTCTTTTCCAGGTTCCTCCTGATATTATCAGGGCTGGGAGCTGTTAATCCAGCCCATCCCTCTTCTGCTTGACTGGAGTGCCAAGCAATTAATCCAGGTGACATCTCGAATGAATGGGATATCACAGGGACAGCGGTCCCGGGAGAAGAAGGGGATCTTTCTGGCCTCCCAGGATCTCCATCCTCCGTGGATCCCTCCCCATCCCGTCAACCTGGTCCTGCTGCCGTCCCTCCTCCTGCATCCCCGAGAGCCCCGTGTAGGGAAAGGGAGGGGACACGAACCGAGCTCTGGGCCAGGCTGGCGCCTGCTCCTCGCTGCAGCGTGAGCCGGGCAGGGGGAATTTTATTGATCATAAATGGCCGCGAGCTCTCGTTCCCCCTCACCAGGGACTCCACAGCCGCCCCAGAACGCATTCCCCCAGTGCTCCGCTTCCAGGGGGTATGAACAGGGGTTTCGCACACAGCCAGGCACACACCTGAACTGCCCGCAGAGCTGCCAGCCCTGCCAGTGCCCACGGGCACCTCCCTGTGCAGGTGCAACCCCGGCCACAGCGGGGAGGGTTAAATGGGGGTGAGAAAAGCGGCCCTTCCGAAGGGAGACACGGCCTTTATTACCCGCGTGGGGCGGGATGAGTGGTGCCGGGCTCCCTGCCCGCTCGGGCCGAYGGCCGCCCCTCGCCCCGCTCGGCTGCACCGCGGCTCCCGTCCGGACGCAGCCGGGTGCCGGCTGCGAGTGCGGGTGCGGGCGGGCCTGGCTGCTGCAGGTGCCACTCAGGGAGGCTCCATGTCCTGCAGCTGGTCACAGTGACAGGAGGGTGACAGGCGGAGGGGCAGGCTGTTCCTGGGATGCTGGTGCAGCGTGTGCTCCCGTCTAGGCAGCTCCCAGGGCCACGCTTGCCCCTCAGCCCCTGTCCCTTACTCCAGGGAGCCCAGCGGAGCTGGACCTCRTCTCTGGAGGTACCTGTGGGGCCAGGCGGGGAGCAGCCACGGGGTCCTTGGAGCCAGGGCAGGGCTTGGCGCGAGAGCCAGCACTGGCCAAGGCGCAGGGCTCCCCGCTCAGGGCTCCTGCTGCCACAGGGCGATGTGCTCCTGGGCTGCAAAGGGAAACGCAAAATTTCACACACCAGAGAGGCCCCAGGGGGCTTGGTGATGTCCCCTCGGGGGACAGTGCCAGCGGAGCTGAAGGTTGGCACCTCCAGGGCTCTGTCCCTTAGCAAGGTGCCGCGGCTCTCCCAAACGGGCGCAGCACGAGGGGCAGCAGGGCTGCCCGGGCACGCACCGAACTGGCAGATGTAGCGATTGCGAGTCTTGCAGCGCTGGTCGTTCCAGTTGAAGGCGGCCGCCGCCTGCATCTCCACGCAGTTCCCAAAGCTGCCGCCCCCAGGCAGGAGAGACCCGGGGAAACGTCAGAGATGGGAGCCGGTGCCACGGGCTCCGGGCAGGGACCTGCCGTGTCTGGCGGGAGCTGGAAGGGCACGGGGACAGGCACTTACCCCTGGTTGTCCGGCTGGCCAAAGGCAAAGCTGCTGAAGGAGGACRGCTCGCCCGTGTCCCAGCGGAACGAGGCCTTGGACGTTTTGTAGGTGAGACCTGCCGAGGTGAGAGGCAGGGCCTGCAGCACCCGGGGTGCCCTCACCAGTCTGCATCYGCACAGCCCGGCACTGCAGGCACATGCACCGGCTCGGGAGAACAGCCCTGGTTCCACAGCACGGCCAGGCCTTGCTGGGAGGTTGCTCGGCCCGGAGGAGTTGGACTCGGGGGCCCCCGGGCCCCTTCTGAGGGCAGCAGCCTGGCCTGGGTAACTCACCAATCCAGAAGTTGCCCGTCTCAAAATCCGTGTCCATCACCCTGTTGCTGGTTTCCAGGCGGCTGAGGTAGAAGGCCAGGATGTCCTGGACTTTCTGATTCCTGATCTGGGCCAAGATCGCCCCTTTCTCCTGCAGGGAAGCAAGCGAGTCAGCCTGAGGGGCTCTGCCCTGGTGGGGGTCAGGAGAAGCTTAGGGTGCCCATGTGATGATGAAGTGGGCTTAGGGTGCCCACGTGATGTCCCTCGCTGCAGGGATGAGGTTGCAGGTGGCTACTCCCCCAGGGAACAGGCACAGAGCGGGACGTGGCCTTTGATGCCATCCTGGTGGGAAGCATCCCTGTGGCGCAAACCGAGGGGCTCACCTGGCACTTTATCTTGGCTCCGTAGTACGTGTCGGCCTCGGGGGACACCATGAAGCAGTCGCCGTCGATGCGCACGTCGCAGGCGTGGAAGGGGAACCGGCTCCTCGCTGCGGGCGYGGGCGAGCGCACGTGGGTCCGTGCGCCTGCCCCGGCGCTGAGCCGGGCACCGCGCGGCCGCGACCCGCGGGGCCGGCGCRCACTCACTCGCGCACTCGGCGCCGCTGTAGCCGGCGTGGCAGAGGCAGGAGCACTCCTCCGTGCGGAACATGCCGTGCACGCACTGTACGCTGCACCGCACTGCGGGCCAGGCAGCGGCCGCGGCGTCAGCCCCGGGGAGCCTCACACGCCCCGGCACGAGCCCACGGCGACCACCTCGTCCCCGGCGCGTCGTGGCCCTCTCACCTTGGCAGTACCTGCCYGTGTAGCCGCGGGGGCACGTGCACTGGCAGCTGCTCATGTTGAGGCGCCCGCCGTTCCGGCACGCCACGCGGCACGGGTTCCTGGGCACCTCTGCGCAGAGAGAGCGCGTCCCCACAYGCACGMGGCGGCCGCGCGCCCGGCGCYGCGCGGCACACACTCACCGCAGAGCCCGCCGCCGTGGTCCCAGGACTTGAAGCAGCCCGAGAGCCCGGCGGTGCACAGCGAGCACCAGGCCCCCTGCTTGTAGGGCACGATGGGCTTCCCGTTCATCTCCCAGTTGCCGCTGCCAGGGGGCACAGAGGAGGACGCRGGGATGTGGGCACGGGTGCCAGATCGGGCACGGCGGCACCTAGCAGGGCCACAGCGGCCAGCGGGCGCTTACCCAGGGGAGTAGGCGCAGGCGAAGGCCTCGCCGCCGGCACACGTGTGCCTGCCGCAGCCCAGCCGCGCCGCCGTGGCCCACACGAGCTGCAAGGGAGCCGCTGCCATCACCCGCCGCCGCCGTCACCGTCCCCGCCGTCACCGTCCCTGCCGCGCCGCCGCCGGGCCCACCTGCGTGTAGTGGCGGCAGGTGGCGTTGGGCGCGCAGCGCGCCGCCGCGTAGTCGTAGCGCTGGCCCTCGGCGAACCAGCGGAGCAGCGCGGCACCCACATCGCCGGCACCCGCCGGCAGCAGCGCCTCGCTCCAGCCCAGCTGCGTGGCCGGGGCCGGGGCCGGTGCCGCCAGGCAGCCGCCCGCTCGTGCCCGCGCCAGCCGCGCCAGCTCCTCGCTCCAGTCCTGCTCCGAGCGGGACAGCCGCCGTCAGCGTGGGGGCATTGCCAGGCTGCCCCCCGCTCCCCACTGGCGCTGCGGGTGCCCGGGGTGCTCACCAGCCTCTGCATGTTGGCGGCAGGCGGCTGCACTTGGCTCCTCAGCTTGTTGTGCAGCGAGAGCACCAGGAAGGTCTCCTTGGTGCTGAGGGCTGGGAGAGCAGCGTGGGGGGGTCAGGGATGGATGGGGTCGAGCGGGGCGCCCTTGTCACAGGGGGTCCCTGCAGCGCCCGCTGACGGCCCCCCGGCAGCAGCCAGGGAGACGGGAAGGCAGCCGGCTCTCCATGGAGACCAGCGGGGAGAGAAGGCGGCGTTTGGGGGCAGGCGGCACCGAGGGGCCTGGACGGGGGGACGAGGCACCTTGCGCAGCGACACCGAGACCCGCAGAGCAGCCGCCGGGCTCTGGTGCACCGGGGGCCGCCTCCACCCCAGCTCCAGGAGCCTCCGGCTCCAGACGCCTCCACACCGGCCCCGCTGCCATCCCCGAGCCCCCCCACCAGCCCGGAGCCCCTCACTGTCCCCTGTCCCCCATCCCCATCCCTGGCTGCCCATCACCAACCCCGAGCTCCCAGCGCCAGCTCCAGCCCCCCCAGCACCCTCAGACCCCATCACCAGCCCCACAGCCACCCCCAGGTCCCCGCTGCCAAGACAGACCCCCTGCCCATGGGTCATCCCCGGCTGGGCACCAGCCGTGCAGGAGCGTGATGCAGGGCCGGGGGCCATCTGTCCCTGCAGAGACAGAGCCCCCAGGCCCCTGTGCCCGTTACCTCCGCGCCCCGGCTCCGGCGGGGCGGCCGCCGTGGAGGCCGCCAGGCTGCAGGCCAGCAGCGCCAGGAGGCGGCCGGCCGGGCCGCCACCGTCCCGCATGCGGGCGGCCGCGCCGAGGGCGCCCCGAGCAGCCGGCAGAGCGGGCTTGGGCGCCGCGGTGGCGCTGGGGCGAGCGAGGCCCGCGCTGCTCTCTGTGTGTGAGTGTCTGCTCCCAAGATCTGATCCTATTCAAAGCTGCAGACAGCCGCTCGGCTGGGCAGCTCCAACAAAAGGTTGACGGGTGAGTAATGGCTCTGTCAAAACAAGGGGCTGGCGGGGGCTGGCGGCTCCCGCGGGGCCCCACGCGGCCAGGAGCCACCGCAATGGGGGTGTCCTGGGGCTGGGAGCCACCGTGATGGGGGTGTCCTGGGGCTGGGAGCCACCGTGATGGGGGTGTCCTGGAGCTGGGAGCCACCGCCATGGTGTTGTCCTGGAACTGAGAGCCACCGCGATGGGGGTGTCCTGGAGCTGGGAGCCACCGTGATGGGGATGTCCTGGAGCTGGGAGCCACCGTGATGGGGATGTCCTGGAGCTGGGAGCCACCGCCATGGTGTTGTCCTGGAACTGAGAGCCACCGCGATGGGGGTGTCCTGGAGCTGGGAGCTATGGCCATGGGGGAGTCCTGGAGCTGAGAGCCACCGCCATGGGGGCATCCTGGTGCCCCAGGCTGCGCTCCAGGCACCTCCTGCTAYGGCCCCAAGTGGGGATGAGGAGCTCCCGGGAGTGGACAGCAGGGCTCCGGAGCTGGGATCCCCTGGGAAGGGGGCAGTGAATGGCAGCCCTGCTGCCCGCTCTCATCCTACGCCATGAATTAAATGTGAATTAAACTGCTCTTCACTCATGGACCTGGAGCCTCTGTGCACAGCGGGCTCAGTGCTGTCCCCACCGCTGTGCTGGCATAAATGTCCCCTCATCCATCCCCTGGGGACAGCGGAGATGGCTCCCTGATGCATGGACCATCCCCAGTTTGGCTGGGTGAGATGGGCCCCAGCTTTCCCCTCCGGTGGCTCTGTGGATGGGGATGACAGGGACGGGCGGCCACATTCTGCTCCTTGCAGCCCCCAGAAGCTCCAGCGTGCCAGGGCTGCGACGCTGGACGCCTCGACGCCATCCCGAGGAGTGACAGTCGGCGCCGCGGAACCGGCTCAGCAACGTGGCCGTGGGCCCCGCTGTGCCCCCCAGAGCGGCCCGGGGGGAGGCGGGCCTCGAACCCGCGACCCCAGACCGCTCCCGGCCCGGGGCGCCGGCGCTCCGCGCGCGCCGTTTGGCGCTAGCGCCGCTCCGTAGCCGCCGCCGTCGCCATGGCGACGGGCGCAGCGGCCTGAGCCCGCGGAGCCGCCGCTTTGCTCCGCGCCGCGCCAGGCCGGGCCGAGCGGGACCGGGCCGGGCCGAGCCGGGCCGAGCGGGACCGGGCCGGGCCCCGCCGCCCGCCCGCGGCCCCGCCGGGCATGAGGCGGGCGCGGGGCCGCCGCCCGCAGCCGCCTCCGCGCGGAGAAGGTGAGGAGCGGGCGGGCGCGCGGCCCGGCGGCCTCCCCAGCCCCCTTCCCGCAGGGCCCGCAGGACAAAAGCCTGCCATTATTTTATTAATTACAGTTACCCGAGAGCTGTCCATGAGTTAGCCACGCCGCGAGCGGCTGCTGCTGCTTGCCCGAGGGCTGCAGTTAGTTTTATCCCAAACAAAGTAGAGATGATCCTGCTCTGTGTTCTCACCGCCCGCCTCTCTATCCTTTCAGCCCAAGGAGACTGTCAAGACCTGCTCCATGCAGCACATGGTCCAAAACCCCGCGCGGGACCTGGGGGCCTCCCCACCTCCTCCTCCTCCTGCCTGTGTTAATTCAGGTGCTTGAGGGGTCCCGAAACACCCCGCTCTGTGACCGGAGCAGGAGCAGGCGGCGCCTGTGAGGAGCCGGCATGATCGTGGGAAGGGGAAATGGCACATAAGCAACGTGAGAGCCTTGTGTGAGGAAGGCTCATCCTTGGGGGATGGAGAACAGGCCATGTGGCTCCCCTTAGCAGTGTGCATAAATATATACACATATATCTGAAGGGAAGGTGTAAAGAGGAAGGGGCCAGACTCTTCTCAGTGGTGCCCAGTGACAGGTCAAGGGCACCAAGAGGAAATTCTGCTGSAGCACCAGAAATGTATTTTCCCCCTGCGGGTGACCGAGCCCTGGACCAGGTTGCCCAGAGAGGTTGTGGAGTCTCCATCAGAACCCAGCTGGACGCAGTCCTGGGCAACGTGCTGCAGGTGAAGCTGTTGAGCGTGGGCTGTTGARCCAGGAGGTTCCCCTCCAGCCCCAAGGATTTTTGTTTCTGTGTGCTGTGGAGCTGTGAGTGTGGTGCAGAGATGCCTCAGCGTCCACCAGGGCTTCTCGTTGCTGGTTGTGCAGGGGCATCCCTGATCTGCTGCCTGTTTTGTACTCCGGACCTTCCCGTGGAGCAGAGCAGCCCAGGGAAGGGAGCACTGACCATATTTCAATCTGAGGCAACGTTCTCCTGAAAGCTCCTCCTGGCTCTGTTGCCAATGTGGGAGAAAAGGACAAAATCCAACATACATTGAAAAAAAAAAAAAGAAAAAAAGAAAAAAGGAGAAAAACCTTCAGAGCTTATTGCTGTTGTGTGATCAGGAATGATAATAACCCAGAACTTTTCAGGATGTGTTTGTTAACTCGTGTGCTCAGTTAACTTCTCATGCCAGGAATGCAGCCGGGGCAGGACAGCTGAATAGCGTCGCTGCTTCCCGCACGGATGTCCCGCCTGYGCAGCTTGCTGTTTTGTTCTCCTAGAGACAATTTGCATTACAGTTGTGTGGCAGAAGAATTCCTGCTTTCTTTCCCCCTTTTTGTCGTTAAATTACCATCTCTTTTTATCTTTTTTTTTTTTTTAGTTTCTAGTCTTTCCACTTGCCTTGCTGCTGACAAAGGCGTCTTTGTTTTCTTGGGTGTTGGGTAGTGCTAAGGTTGCAGTTCCAGACCAGAGGCTCCAGTGAGGAGGGAATTTAAGGGAATTTACCCTTCTCCTGCAGTTCTGTTCACTCGCTAAAATTAGATATATTGGCATCTGTGAGACAGGTGAAAGCATTTGCTCTGCCATCATCCCTAGCACCTTTCTGAAATGAACACATGCCCAAAACAGATCACAGTGGATCTCCAGACTGCCACCGGGATATCCCCAGTGCCCTTTTCACTTGCCTTAGGTGTAGATCTGTTAAAAAAATGACAAAACCTACAAGTTTCTCTTATCTGAAAATCTGTAGTGTTGTCCTACTTGCTTTTAGAGTGCCTCATTGCTCTCCCCTTTTGTTACTATTGAGCACAAATCACCTTCACAGAGACTCTCATCGCTTGCACTCTCTTGGTTTAAGTCCAGCTGTGAGGACTACATCTCCAGCCACAATATTTCCATTTAACATACCTTTTTTTGTTGTTCCTTTTTGCTGCCTCTAGATGAACATCTGCAAACCTCCTAACAAGACAGCTCCCGAGAATCTGGGTGAGGCTGCTGCGGAGCTGCCGGTGCAGCGCGCGCGCAGGAACGGCTGGAGCTGGCCGCCCCATCCCTTCCAGATCATCGCCTGGCTCCTCTACCTCTTCTTCGCCCTCGTTGGCTTCGGCATTCTGGTCCCTCTTCTGCCTCTCCACTGGCTGCCTGCTGGCTACATTGTATCCTTTGCTCCAAAAAAAAAAAAGGATGTAACTATAAAAAAGTGTTAATAGTGATTTTTTTTAATCATTATGTAACATAGAAAGCGTAGGAGAAAGCAGTCAAGTCAGACTTTTTTTCTGAACTTTAACTGTAATCCTGATCTTCTTCATTCTGTTAAAAACACGTATTTTGAGATCTTCGCTGTCCATCTACTTTGGGTAGGATGTAACTATAAAAAAGTATTAATAGTGATTTTTTAAAAAAATCATTGTGTAACATAGAAAGCATAGGAGAAAGCAGTCAAGTCAGATTTTTTCTGAACTGTAACTGTAATCTCAATCTTCTCCATTCTATTAAAAACACTTATTTTGAGATCTTCTGTGACCATCCACTTCGAGTAAGATACTAACTAGATTCTTCTAGCTGTATTCTACATCTGTGCTGCAGGATTTGCTTTTGTCTCCCCTCTGATAACATCTTTTCCTGGTAAAAATAAAATCAGCATGTCAGTGGATCTGGGAGGGTCAAGCTGTAAAATCTGACCTTGCTTATGAAATGTCATAAAAAGCCAAGGCAAATTTAGGCTAGTACATTTGTGATGTGCACAGCACAACATTTTTGATGTACATAGGGCTTCYTGTTGTCAAAGGCCAAACTGGAATGAAAGTAGTCCCATTAGTGCTTGTTGTTTTCACTAGATTAATCTCTGGCAATTYGTATGAAGATATGAAAATTCTTCCAGATGTGGCAGTTTTGAGTATCAAAAAGCAAGGGGGAAATTTAACATCCTTATATAACTGGAAACAAGAGAAATCTTYGGTAACAGGTCATTCTGCTTTTCATACTCATAGCTTCCTTAGCAGGATTGATGGCAGAGAAATATTGAAGACAGAAACATAGGGAAAGTACTRATGATTTGTTACTTGTATATGTGCTTATATAATCTGTACATTTGATTTTAGTATATCCATGCTGTCTGTGACACGTCTGGGACACTTCTATTGCTTTGTCATTGTTTTAGTTACCTGTACATGACTTACTGTTAATAATATCATTAACTAACAGCAGACCTTACATTTATCTTACCCAATTCCTTTGTGTTCATGGTTCAAATATATAGATATATACACAACTGAGGGTAGAACCAATAAATTGGAAGATTAAGTTTTGGGTAGATGATTATTAAGTTGCAGGATATTGAGAAGCAAACTCCAGAGCACTATCATATTCCAGGCATGTGAGGCTGCTGCTTAGGAGTCATTTMAAATACTGGCAGGTCAGGTGTGGGATCAAAAGTATTCCCAGGATTTTTTTTCCTTCTGACTTGTTACTGCAGTTAGAAGAACCCAAGCAGGTAAACTTTAGAGGAAGGAGGACAATTCATGGGTAGCGTTTTTTTCCAGTAAGTTGTGTAGAATACTACTTTACTGGTTCTTGCTGGGGACTCTCGCTAAGGAAAAGGAAGCAGAGTGATCAGAACCAGTTCCTTGATTTGTCTTTTTTCTCCTTTTTTTTTTTTTTTTTTGAAATTTAGTCTTATGAGGGGGCATGAGCATGGCCTTAACTAGCGGTTCCTTTCCAAGGATTCTCTATGGACTGAGAGAAGTGGACCCGTGCCAACAGTCTGCTCCCAGGGGCAGATTCTGGTGAAAAAAGGTAAGTTTTAGAAACTTCTAAGCTAGGAAGCACATTTCCGTGAGGCAGAGAGTTACATAATAAGGAGGGTTGTGCCTGCAGATTTAGTTTTRTTTACCCAGAGAGTATTTACTGCAGAGAGGCTAAGTTAATGAAGCTCATATGAACGTGCTGCAGTCAGTTATGTGGTAGTTTCTAATGACAAGCCATGCACTTCTCACCTGGATGTGCTTTGTGAACCAAGAATAAATATTGTAGACGTCAAATGGCTCATACAATCCTTAACTGCGCCCCTCAGTGTCCAGGAGTGTGTTTTATCTACCATTTAGTCGTTCATCTTACTGCAGTCTCCATTGATCCTGCGGATGCCAATGTGCGCAAAAAGAACTACCTGGGGCCCCTGGCCACCTTCAATCGTAATCAGCACACACACGTCATTGAGAATCGCCATTGCCATGTCTGTGATGTGGACGTGTAAGTACCCAGCCTCTCCCTTCTGGTAATCTCTCTTCATCACCATTGGAATATAGTTTGGGTGGAATTTAAGTCCCTGAAGTTCGTAATTCTGTAGTGGTGTTTGGAGTGTCCACTGTGACAGTCAGCTGGCGAGTGTCCCTTGTTGAACGTGGATGTGTGGCTGGTTTTAATCCGTGACGGTGTGTGGAGAGGACTGTACTGAGCGCTGCGGTGGTGTTTGGGTGTTGTTTGATCTGAGAGCAAGATGCAGCTTCTCTGTGTGGTGTGCTTAGCTTTGGCTAGGCACTGATTTGAGAGCTGCAGAAGTTTGGAGGGCAGATATGAAGAGGAAGCTTTGCAGGATTGCTGAAGGGCTTCGAAGAATAAGAAAGGGATGATTTCCAAATCGAAAATTGCACKGTGCATAAAAAAGGCAGATTTTGCAGTATTTGTGATTGTGCTCCAAGAACAGCCAGCAGCTTTGGGTGTTTAGGCATTCCTGATGTAGTGGCTTTTCTAACTCCTGCCCGGATCTCTCTCTACTGTTGCACCCCTCTGTATTTGTTGCACTGGAAGGTAACGGTGACAGGTGGGTGATGCCCCTCTAATCCCACTTTCTTCGGCAGGAGTGCCAAGTCAAAGCACTGCGGAACTTGCAACAAGTGTGTGTGTGGCTTTGATCACCACTGCAAATGGCTCAACAACTGCGTGGGGAAGAGGAATTACTGGTAAGGGCCTGGCATCATGACAGAGACATATCTGTGTTCTCCTCCCAGGACTCTCCTGCCTTTCAGGCCGGCCTGTGCTATGTCACACAAACCCACTTTCCTTTCAGATCCCAGAGGAATAAAATCAGTCATGAGGAAACTAGATTGAGATACAAGCCTGGCTGTGACATTCAAATCAAGGGAGGGATAAAACTCCTACACTTAGAATTTTGTGGGTGAACATCCACAAATAAAATAATTATTTGGTATAATCATAGAATCATAGAATGCCGAAGGTTGGAAGGGACCTCAGAGGTCATCGAGTCCAACCCCCCTGCTCACGCAGGGTCACCYAGAGCACGTGGCACAGGGCTGCATCCAAGCGGGTTTTAAAGATCTCCAAAGAAGGAGACTCCACAACCTCTCTGGGCAGCCTGTTCCAGTGCTTTGTCACCCTCACAGTGAGGAAATGCTTCCTTAAGTTCCTGTGGAACTTCTGATGCTTCAGTTTGAAGCCATTTCCTCTAGTCCTATCCCTGCCCCCCACTGAAAAGAGGCTGCCCCCCTCCTCCTCMCTSCCTCCCTTGAGGTATTTATACACGCTGATCAGGTCCCCCCTCAGCCTCCTCTTCTCCAGGCTGAACAGACCCAGCTCTCTCAGCCTTTGCTCATAGGGCAGATGTTCCAGGCCCCTGATCATCCTGGTAGCCCTGCGCTGGACTCTCTCCAGCAGCTCCACATCCCTCTTGTACTGGGGAGCCCAGAACTGGACACAGTACTCCAGTTGAGTACTGGAGTCCAATCACTGGACTCGAGTACAGTCAAGTCCAATCAAATCGATTATTTGATGTTRAGGAAAGTTTGTGAGATGTGGTTTGGGTGTCCTTAATGCTTCTGAAGCACAATCATGCTGTTGTTCCTGTCCCAGAAACAACTTGAACCCCGACCACCTTTACCTRTCACATGGCAGGAGATAAAGCAGCATCTGGGTAACTTTAATCCATCCTAGGTCTAAAGTGAAGAGTAAGAAGGCTGTCACTGGTGGTTGCTGCTCAGCTTATTTTCCTGCACTAGAACCACAAGGAAAACCACAAGGTTTTCCACAARGAAAACAGGGAATTCTTATGCTGGATAACATTTTGCACTGTCATGACAGTAGGCTGAGAGCTCCTTGTCCATCCTAGAAATAGGGGACTTGACTACAAGAGCTCTAAGGGGTTCTAATTTATAGTCTCAGGGCAACAAATCAGAAATGAGACTGTTACATTTAGAATAAGCATAAGAAGGTGCCACAATAATTTGGGATAAATCTTTGTCTCTTTACTATTAGAGTTTGGGATTTTGAGTGTGTATGTGTGATATTATCCGCGTACTCCATCTGTGTTTTGCAGCGAAGCCACTGAGGTTTCTCACCTTTTTGGCAGGCTCTTTCTGAATAGTGTGCTGTCAGCCATCCTGGGCCTTGGCGTGCTGCTGCTCGTAGCCTTCTACGTCTTTGTGGAGTTCTTCATCAATCCCACGAGGCTTCGTTCGGACCAGCAGTTTGAAGGTACCAGGSGGATTCAGTTGAGCATCTTGGGATCCTGAGGGACAGCTCTGGGATTGGATTCTATGGGCTCTCCCACTGATCAGGAGTTCTCTTCCCTTACTCCTTCAGTGCTATATTTCTACAAGAATATCTCTGGGCTGATTTTATAGGTCTCAAGGGCATAACTTTGGGACTGCTACTATTTTTGACTTAATATTTCCATCTGTAAAGTTTACCTAGGGATATTTAATACATAGACAATCTACTTGCCTCCTCCTATTGTTTTCATACCCTTGCTATAGTTCATTTATCCCCTTCATTCCTTGGCTCGCCTTCTCCGTTGATCTAAGAACTCCTTCTCTAACCCCCCTGGCTTCATTTTCTCACCTGAGACAACTTTGTGCCCTGCTGCCTCACTTCCCAACTCTTGCCGTTCTGGGGTTTTCATTGCAGTGTTATGTTTTTTTTTTTTTTTTTTTTGCAGTTCTAAAGAACCACACAGACGTCTGGTTTGTGTTTCTTCCTGCAGCTCCTGTTGAGACTCAGGCCCCTGCCATTTTGGTCTCAGCTGGGATTTTCATCCTGCTGAGCCTAATGACCGTGTTCCTGCTGGGCCACCTCTTGACCTTTCACATCTATCTTAGTAGGTATTATGTTCTTGTCCTCTGCAATCCCATTTCATTCTCTTGTGGCATCTACTCGTTCTCTCTCCATTGTGTGTTCCCCCATATCACAGATATAACAATACACGCACAAATTGGTCACATAGATGTGCTGCCACAAAAACGTGTCATAAATACACACACGTGGTGCAAGATATATTGAAGAGGTAGAAAATGGGGATTTAGCATTTTATTTTTGATTTTCTCAAATTTGTAGAAGAATTTTTGAATTTCTCCAGCTTTCACAAATTTACTTTTTGACAAGTACAGTTTAGAGTCYAGCTGGAAGATGGCGCCCTACAAATGCTTGATTTGAGATGAATCCATTTCTTCTGGTCTGTAAAACCTCCTATAAATGTTCTTATTGTTTTCAAGATACAGATTAATCCTGTAGATTTCAATAGAATAATATATACGTATACATATACATATAGCATCCCAGAGGACATATTTTGGCCTGGGTTTACCAAGTCTTCTGCCTGTCTGATCTTTATCTGGGGATAATCTGGGGATAATCATATATTTATCTGCCTGAAAGCCTTTGGTCCAGAGGCCTTTGGTGTCTTTTGAGAGGGTGAAATGAAGCCAGTGAAAAACTTGTTTCCACCTTAGTCAGATTTCCGAGGAACATCTTGAATTTTTGACATCAAAAAGTTCAAATAAAGCCAGCAGAGCATCACAGAGTTTGCCACGTATCAAAACCACTTCCTTCATTGAGGGCTGAATCACAGATATCAGAGAAAAATTTAGAGTCCAGCTAAACCTGGAGTTCCCTGAACGATTTTGATAACCATTTCCAGAACAACTTGCATAAATATTGGAGAGTTGCTAATAAATCCTTAAGATTAAGGGAGGACATCTTGAACTAGAGACTAGTTGGAGGAAATGAATAAAATTTCCTAACAGATTTATTCGTGATAATATACTAGTKTGGGACTTTATATAAAAATGCATGCAATTATATGTAGTTTGCAGGAAGCTTCTTTGGATCATATTTATCTGGGCTGCAGATAAACTCCAGCTGGTTCTGTACACAGCCACCTTGTTGCAGGAGGAATTACTGGCTCAAGTAGCAGGTGATGTGAGCAAGGTGCACACGTGCATGCTGTGCAACTCCACTGTTGCAAACTGGGTTTGCAGCTAGCTTGGATCTGACCTGGTTTGTGCTTATCCCAGCCTCCTAAGCTCAGCTATGTCCTGCAGCCCCCCAGTCCCCAACAACTGCAGTACCAGGCAGTACACGTGCAAAATGGGGCCACATTTAGGTCTGGCTTTCATGTGCCTCAACTGTGCTATCTTGGAGATCGAAGCATAAGGGAGGACAAGTGAGACAAACCAGGTGATCTCAGTCCCAGTGATGGCAGGTTCAGATTGGGCCATAGGAGTTTCTTCACTGTGCTTTGATTATGTGAGAGATCCGATTTCTCCTTTACCTTTTAAGTGTAGAAAATACAGGTCTGATTTTCTAGTAGGAGGCTTGTCCTGCAGATAAAGATGTCCTTGTGGAATTTGTGCTATATTTGCACAAAATGGTTCGTGGAATTCAGAGGAAGAAGTCAGCAGAAGGGCTCACCATTAGATCTCCCATTTTTTTGCTCTATCCAGACACCAAGTTTATGCTTGGAAGTGCAGGTGGGCCTCAAATCTTTGTTTTTCCAGTCATCATCTCYAGTGAAGCAAGTGCTACAGGGCTGCCTTGCGTGAGTTAAGGTGCAAAAAGATCCTGCCCTCAACATTGTCACCAGTGCCAAAATTAGAGAAGAAGGGACACGATGGAAGAGGAATGAGAATGCCAGTTACCGACTATGGGTGTTTCTTTTCTGCTGTCAGCTAACAGAATTTATTAACAGAATTGGTGATTTGCCACCACAGTGCAGTTTCAAAACAAAACAGTTACACTTGTGACGTGAAGCATTTGATAGATGAGTCCTCTTCCATTGCTAGGGTTGCAGTCAGTGGGGTCGCTGGCTKCCTTTGACAGCCTCTTGGAGTTTTAATTTAAATTTGCTCTCCTCTCTGTGACTTGGCCTGCTTTGTGCAATTGRAAGTGGACTCTGCTCTGTTAACGACGGTTCCTGAGCATCTCAAACATCAGCCTAGCACTGCAGAAAGACAGAAAAAGCCTAAAAATGCTGGGGTCACTCCAGGAAAACCTMATTTTTATAGCAAAGAAAGAATTGTGCATTTTAGTAGCAAGCTGTATTTCATCTTGTCCTTGTGTGCAGCAGCCACGAGAGGGTGCTCCCTGCTCTGGAGTAAGGACTTGCCCAWCCTCTTGCACAGCCAAAGAAGCATTTGCAGGTGTTATCTCAGTGTTACTCTGTTTTTTAATTTTGTGATTTTTTTTTTCCTATTTCAGAATATTTTCTTGACCCAAATTAAGTTTTCTCTTGGATCCAAATTGAAATATTTACGAGTTACAGGGAAACAACATTTAATCATTACTAGCAGTTAGTATGTTAAGGTTTAGTAGGCACTGAAGCTGCTTTCAGCTGGATGAGTGCTGTGTGGAAGTGCAGTGCAAGTCCTCACTGGAGCTCTTTGATTTTCCCCAGACTGGAAGACTACAGCTAGTTTCCAATACAGGAGTCTACAGTTACACTAGATATTTATTGACAATTCTCTGAGTTTTCTATATGATACAGATCTTTAACCTCCTGATGTACATAATGGCTTTGCTTCTCTTTGGAATATACTGAATAAATTGCTACAGCATGGAAGAATATCCAAATATATGGAACTAGAGACGAATAGTGTARCTAGGGAGGAAGTGATGAAGACAATAAGGGATGTAGTAAGATAGACACTACAAAGGTATTCTTGTCGTAGAGTATCTGCCTCTTCATGTTTATATTTACTATTTAATTGCAAATAGTTATTTGAACTGTTCTGCAGATGTGAATGTGGTTGGGGAGTGGCGTTTCATGCGCTGACATCTCTCTTCCTTTTCTCCCAGTGTGGAACAAGCTGACTACGTACGAGTACATTCTGCAGCAGCGTCCCCAGCAAGAGCTGAAGGAGGTAGACAAACCACTGGAGTCCTGTCCCTCCCAGCTGAAACCCAGCCAGGTACTTGTATGTTCAATACTTAAAAAAGAAAACATCCTTGCTGGTCCTGCTGGTGGAGTTTGCCTGAGTTCTGCAAGCTGCACATTTGAGAGGCAGTTGCTGGGGCTAAACATGTTGAAGTCCTTGGGCAGAGTTGGGCAGGATGTCAGGAGGCTGCACAAGAGCCTGGGCAGCAGCAAGCAGCACGTCCAGAGGAATCAGTCCYACCCACCCTCTGCCTCTGCTGCTCCTTTTGCCCCAGTGCTGCCTATTCCCTCTGCCAGTGCAGCTGTTTGTTACAGCCACACAGAGCACAGGGTAGGGGAACCTCATTTGGCTGAGGATATACTTTAAAAAAAGAGAGTAGAGCTGGTGGATAGTTGGGCTGAGCCCTGCTGTTTGGTTCCCCAAGCAGTCACGTAAATGTTTGTGTCACCATGAGAGCAGATGACTGCAGAGTGGGAGGGTTTGGTCCAATTTTGTCACATTTTGCTGCTTTGTGTGAGCACTCTCATGGCTGAGAATGAGACAGGTTCTAAGACTAGAGACACTGGGGTTAATTATTGAGCAACTGGTACCGATTTGTTTTGCCATCTTGGAAAAAGAGATGGAGGAAAATTATGTCCAGAGAGGACCTAGCYAGGCTTTTCTTTGAACTGAGCTCTGCAGAAGTGATAAATATCTGTGATGTTGATCTGTATCTCTGTAAAAGAGGTTTAMAAGCTCTTTTCTGCCATCATGAATTGAGCTAGGGGCCTCCAAAAGTTATTTCTAGTCTAAATTATTCTGTAATTTTGTGAACCYTTGTAATTCCATCTAGTTCTATAGTTATCTATTATACAATCAGTTTTATATTTTGTAAGAGATGAATTATCTCTTGCATGCAGAAATACTCCTGATTTGGAATTTTTCACTATCTCTGGACTCATTAATGGTTTTTCCCTATCAGAGGAAAGTGGAAAATGAGTGAATTGCCTTTTTGTGTAGAATGGAGACCTCAGCTTTTCATATACATTTTTTTTTAACTTCCTCGGAAAAGTTGAACTTTCAGTTTGAATGGAGGTTTCCATAACAACAAAAAATGTTTGGCACTTTGTCTCCTGGAGCTTTGCTTCTTATGAAAACTAAAATCATAATAAAATTTTAGCTCTAATCACTCTTTTTTTGGTTACTGAACTTGGATTGCTACTGAAAATATACCCGGACAGAGGTGGATTCTGTATATGTGTACATTTGAGGTGAGGCTGTTYAGCAGGGTTCTCCCATTGGAGATATATAGATATATAAATACATAGATCTGTATGAGGTTAATTTGAAGCAGCAAAGCTAAAAGAAGCAGGGTGAAAAGCAGTTCTGTATTTCAGGAATACAGTTAATACCTTGGGGAACAATAAAGGCTGGAAGATGCCCGGTCACATTGTTAAGAAAAATGTTAACCCACCAGATTTTTCTTGTTTCTAACATAGCAACCAGAGATAAACACAAACAAATAGATTGGAGTAGGAGGACACCAAGTGACTTTGCCTTTTGTGAACCAAGTGCTGTTGACTGCAGCCCTTTTTTAGCTCGGGCATAAAAAATCCTTTGTAATTGATCCAAGCTGTTGCAAGCATAAAATGGAAATTACGCCGTTCCCACCTTTGTCTTGACTGTTCATTCATTTTAGGGAGTAAGAAGGAGCACAAATTTTCCACTTCATATGTGTATTTTGAGCCTCGCTCAAGCCCAAGTGTTGGTTTTGGCTTCAGTTTTACACGTTAGTTCGTTAAGTCTTCATCCACCTTCAGATTAAAGGATTCTTATATATTTATAAAGAACCTTCTCAGAACATGCGCAAAGTGGAAGCACCAAGTTTGTAGCAGAACCACTTAAGTGGTTCAGATATCAGAAAAATGCAAGAAAAAGATAGAAATTCACTCTTTGCCTCTGTAGCAATAGCCAAGCAGAGTGTGCAGGTGAGAGTCTTTCTGAAGGTACTTGCACAATAATCCAAAAAAATGGATAAAYTTTCACCATGATATATTTAATACCATGATATTTTCTTTTTCATAATTTGAGGAGTCGCTGATTGCCGTATGAGAAGCAAGAAGTCTTTTCTTCCCTGGATGCAGCTCTTCAGGTTGAACACTGGGAACAGACATTTCAGTTTTGTTAGTGAARCACAGACATTAAACTGGTACCATTAAACTCAGAGGCATTTTAGTACATTAAAAATAATAAAAGGGCACTCGCTATGTATGCATTCTCTTGAAAAARTATCCAAATTTCCTGAAACTTGAACGGATAAGAAAAAGATTATAAAATTATAAGTAGATAAACCTGAAAGTAACCTAAAAGCAGTATATGGCTAAGACCTGTACAGGTGATGCTGGAACATAATCCTGACTTCCCTCCCCATTGGAATAAGCATAATAAAGCATGTCCACCAAAGTGGAGCCAATTTTGAACTACAGTTTGGTTAGTTGTATATTTTTGCAGTTATTTTGGTTTTTAGAAAGACACTGTCCTAGAGAACCTAATTGGGGGACGTTCAGTGAAGGGTGCTGGTAGGATGGTATCCCAAGGAGTGCATCATTGCATTACTCCATACTTCAGGCTAAAAATTCTGWTTAATAGCTAGCTTTGCAACAATTATTTGCTTTTTGATGCTATTTCATTATATTATGGATATCCTCACTGCAAGAGTTGCACGTTCTGGTCATTATATTGTTGTGGACTTGCTTTAGACATGAATTCAGCTTGGTGAGGTTTGGTTTGAAATGCTGAACAGATTTTTCTGTGCTACCTTCACAGTTTCAATATTGTTTCTTTCTTCTAATGTATGGCCAGATTCCATCTTATCCTCACTTGCAGCAGATGCTGTTTCTCTGGGAAAAAAATCACATTGTTTTTCTAGTTGATTCTGCCTCATCTCCACCTCAAGAGCATTTTAGGGCACTTTCTGCCACCGAAATGGCTGATGAGAAGCACAGCTGCTGCGGGCAGGAAGCTGCATTTCACCAGCAGCTGGAACTGGAGAGCTTAGGAAGGAAGACAGACACAGCTGGGATTGCCCTTTAAAGGGCTGAGTGTGGCCAGGAGGGCTGCAAGGTGGCCATGGGTTTTGGCAGACACCCGAGCCATCTGTTTGCAGGAGGAGCAAGAGCTGAATCCTGAGAACCCAACTGGTAAAGGCGGCTTCATCTCGCTGTCACCAGTGAAGGAGGGTGGATAGGCTGCTCTCCTAGGCTCAGGGACTGTGTGCAGTAGCTGTGCAAGTCTAGCTATTCCAATACTGACAAAACATTGTATTTTCTACTTATCCATGTGTTTCTGCCAGTTAGCCCTTGTGGTTTGCCCTTTTTTTTTTAATGTGGTTGCTCTGCTTATGCATATTTTACAAGGCTCAAATGGACAAAGTGGATCTTAAAAAGCTCTTTTATTCCCCRCTGGGAAAGAGTGGCTCACGAAGCTCACAGGATATATCATTTATGAATTTCCTTTCAACTGCCGGGCCTGCAGTGCTGTCTGCAGACACTGAGTCCTCATGATTTCTTCTAACTCTCTCCCTCATGGTCACCATCCAAGGAGGATGCTTCGCGCTTGCAGGCACAGTGGAGTTTCCTCTGAAAAGACCCACGTCTAATTGTGGGGATACCAGATTATGCTCAATCTCCTTCATGTGTGATCCCTCGTGCCCCAGGCTTGATTGTCAGTGCTCAGAATTTGGTCTCCAAGGAGCTCGGGCAAACATTGACACACGCCTCATGCCCAGTCAGTGATGAGCAATGACCTGACGAGGTGCATTTGAAGTGCATGCAATAAACGTGTGAGGCTTATTAATCCTGCACTCAGGTAAACCCTGCTTACAGCAGTGACCCCAACACAGCAGGCTTTCCAAACCTGAAACCCTGGAAAGTCCAGAAASTTTCTGGATTCAGAAATTGTAAAGTAATTCTTTGCAAATCTAATGTGAGAACTTGTGAAATAGTTGCAAATTATTTTTCCTGTTTTTTCCTCTCTTTACCTATTTGCACAACCACAATTTAGAAAAATTACAATGCCTGGAGTCTTCCCAGTTTGTCAACTCTCTTATCAATAATTGAATGAGTAAAGAGACTCCAGACATTCATGCCAAGAAGTAACTGGTATTTGGGGAAGTTTCTCTTGAGGTGGGTAAAGGAGAGCAGCCAAAGCTGATCGGACCAGACCTGGCCAGTCGTGGATGCTAAGAAGAAGAGTGCAGGAGCAGAATATAAGTACGGTCTCCATAACACTCCCAGCATTTTGCCATAGTCTCCTGGGCTTTGCAACCCAGAGCTCCTTCTAATGGCTTGGTACGTATGGGAGAACATGCAGGTTTCTTCCCCGTTGCACATCCCAACTGTTTTATTTCACGATACCTACATGTTGCAGTAGGGAGACAGTAAACAGTGGTTGCCTGTTTGGTTTCCTCCTGCCACTCCTACCTGCCCTGAAGCTTTTTGTCTCCTGGCTCAAAAGCCCAGCCCTGTGAGCTGTTTCTTGCGCGGAAACTGTTCCGTAACTGGAGTTATGGATTCATGTCAGTCTTCTCTAAGCCTTTAACCAGATCTTCTGTGGGAGATGGGACTGGACCCACACTAAGTATTCAGTGTCCAGGCTGCCAATGAATTTATTCCGTGGTGTGAAGCTCTTTCCAGCTCTTGTATTTTTTATGCCTTTCCTTCTCATTCCTATCATCTGAAATGACTTTTTGGCTGTGGCTGACCACGACCTCCACGAAATCTTTCCCAGCTCAGAGACCATTGCTTTTTATATAAAGCTTAGGTTGCTTTTCTTATGTGCATTGCTTTATATTTAGCAATACTTTTTTTTTTTTTTTTTGCTGTTTTATCACCCCATAATTCAGAATAAGAACAATCTCCTGCAGCTCTTTGCAGTTGGCTTCCATTTTTACAGCCTTACATAAGGGAGCATCTTCAGCACACTTCATCTCTCTGTTCTGCCCTTCTCCACGTTGTTTATTGCACGTGTTGACCTGCCGAGGCCCCGGGTCCCTCAGGAACCTGCTTGTGTGATGGCCAACTTTGACTTCATTTTCTCAAGCTCGCTGATCAGGCTCTTCTAAAGAACCAGTCTCCCTATGTTTGTGTGAGCTTATCAGGCTAAAATAGCCAATTGCATTTTAAAATCCTCTTATCTTTACCAAAAAAAAAAAAAAACCCTCAAAATCCATATATGTTTTTATAGTCGCTGCACACTAAATATTTAGGGATTTTCTTGCTGATTATTCAAGTTTAAGAGCAGCTAGGAAAGGTATAATGATCCAGCAAGTCTCTCTCTGGGGCATGGTGTATCTTTATTTACAACTAGGCTTCATAAACTGCATCATTTGGTACTCAGACCATTGCCTTGGAGGGGGAAATGGGAGCCCTTTTCTCTTGGATTTAGGAGGCTTTACTAATCCAACCTTCTTATGTGCTTAGAAAGGTATGTAATGCCAAAACTCAGGGCATCAGGGCTTTGAATTCATCTAAACCTATGTTAAACAAGTAAAATGAAGCATTCTTGTCTGAGAGAAACACACCACAATATTGTTAGCCATGCAGGATTCACACAAGAAAGAGAAATTATGAGAAATTAGGTTGCTTTTTTCCCCCTATATATTGCGTCCTTTCTTGTTGTCACCTCAATTTTGGATTGAAAAGACTTTGAAAATTCCTCTTTTTTCTCTTTTTCAGGAAGCAGACTCTTTTCCAGGTAACCCTGGMTATACAGACCCTACTGTTCAAGTGGAGGAATCTCCAGCCATAACTTCAGGAAAAGAGTGAGTAAAATTAGAGAGAGATGCTTCCCAGCAGCATGAATGCTGGATGGAAAGTTATCCCCAAAGTCACTGATGTCTCCTGAGACAAAAATACTTCAGGGGATGAGGAGCAACCATGGTTTGACCACGGCATGCTCAACTGTCTGAGTTTCAGGAGGGTAAATGCTTGTAGAAGTGCTTGCCTCCCTCCCTTGGGGAAAAAAAAACTCTTTTACAGAAAATTCTAGACTGTTTTCTTTTAAACTTAGAGACTTTCTCATATAGAGCTGGGAGCTGCACTGAAACGTGCCCAAGCTTCTATGGTGCAATTTAGAGGCAAGATGGTTGGCTTTGCCACTGAAGCACCTTTGGGTCTGCTTTGTAAGCAAAAAGGAAAATGTGAAGGCCTGTGGAGTTTGCGATTAGGCTTCGAGAGCTTCTGATAAGCAGTGACAGTGAAAATGCCCTGGAATTAAATGGGAAACTTCCCAAAAAATGATGTCTTCTCAGCTTCAATTTCTGGGCTGGTATGTGCTATAATTTCTATATTGAGCTCATTGTAATCATGTGTTTTAGGGGATCAAGAGATATGAGCCACAACAACATTGATCCCCTTAAGCCAGCTAGGTATGTGCCAAGAAAATGGGCATTAGAGTAATTAAGTAATGTTAAGGAAGCATCTTGAATGATTGCCGTGTATTTTAGCTTTTCAAAGCTCTACGTCCCCAACCATGAAGCAGGTCCTAAGCAGAGCTTGTCCGCCGACCTCCCGTCTTTCCAGTCTGCAGTCCCTTCTCAGGTAAGTGGTGATGCTGCATCCCATAGCTTCCAATGCCACCAGCTCATGGCATTGCGTGGGCACCTGCTGCCTGCTGTACAGTCTGCTTGGGCTGTCCTCTTTCACGCACGTGCCCTCCCATTCCTCAGTGTGTCTGTGCAGATCTGGCTATTCCCTGCATCCAAGAGAGGCTCCCCTATCTTTGCTCCCATGGATCACCAGATACATGTGGTTCCTTCCCAAGCTCACAGCTTAGCCATAATGCATGAAGCTTCTAGAACATCTTCTGGTTCCAATGCAGCTCATGAATACTATCAATATTGACATAACAAGCTGTATGCTTCTATACAGCAAGACTCAACAGTTTATACATTCACATTTGGAGCTTAGGTCATCTGTCCAGGGAAGGACAGTGTGTAGTATATAAACCAGCTGTCCAAGGTCAGGTTTTCTGCCTTCTTGGGGTTCATTTCCACATTTTGTTGCCCCTGCCCTTGATCAAATGGCAGGTACTGATGCGCTCTCCCTTTCTTCCAAGCTTATTAATCAAAGGCTTGTCATTTAAAGAGCAAGAAAAATCCTCTTTCAGCTATATTGTGAACAGAAGTTGTCTCTTTCCCAGTATGTCCCGTACTAGGTGACTTTTAGTACCCTTTTCTGGTTTGAATCTACAAATACATTTTTCAAGCAGTATCTCATAGATATTACAGATGTATGAGACAAGAGGCTAAATGAATCCAAACACACCAAATGCTCTGTATGCAGACAGTGTGTGTGTTCATTAAATACCTGGTTTTTATCACTGCTCTATAGCTAGTCAGTCTGGTTTGAGTTTTATAGTCAGCAGACTTGGGCCTGTTTGGCCTGTAGAAGAGAAGACTGAGGGGGGATCTTGCCAACATATATAAATATCTGAAGGGAGTGTGTAAAGAAGATGGGTCCAGGCTCTTCTCAGAAATATCCAGKGACAGAACAAGAGGTGATGGACACAAACTGAAGCACAGGAAATTCCATTTGAGCTTAAGGAAAACTTCTCTATTGTGAGGATGACTGAGCACTGGACCAGATTGCCCAGAGAAATTGTGGAGTCTCCATCCTTGGAGGTACTCAAAAGTCACCTGGACAGGGTCCTGAACAGCCTGATTTACTTGAGCAGGGAGACTAGACTAGATGATATCTAAAGGTCCCTCCTAACCTCAAGTGAGAGGCTGTGTGAGTTCTAAACTTCTTGGTTTTTGGTCTTATCTAATGCATATTAACAAAGAAAAAAAAAGTTTCTGTTAAAAGGGTAATTTTTTTTTAAAAAAAGCCTCTTCTCTAGGCTACTGAAATGACTTCCCTTCTCCTGGACTTCTTGTTTTCACAGCAACAGAAAAAAAGAAGAAAGAAGAAGATGCATAAAGGCCCTTCCTCAGCAAAGGACAGCAGATCTAAGAGGCAGCCTAGGCCTTGGCCCTCTTTCCCAGATCCCCAGTCAGGTGAGAGTGCAACAGTCAGCTCCTCTGTTCCACAGCAGTCCCCCAGGCAGCTGAAATATGAAAGCATAAATAGAAAGCTGTGTTGAAAAAGTAGAGAAAAGAAAGAGGGGAAGAGCACGAGCTCGTGCTGAGATACCTAAGAAATATCATGGATTTCACTTTAGAAACGTATGTGCACCTAAAATCAGTTGAAATGGTTATTTTTTGGAACTCCTAGTCCTACAACAGCTGAGGAAAAGGGCTATTCCTACTCTTAACAGTTTGATCAAGGTGTTATTGTAGCGGCACAAGCAGTGATGCTTGTTCTGATATTCCTGGGGAGAAGGTGGTGAGGTCCGGCTTTACCAAGGATCATTTTCATTTTTTAAGGGAAAATTACTCAGAAAARATGGAAAGCTAAGTCATCAGAAAAACAGTATTGGGCTACTCCGGCAACTGGGTCAGAAACACAGAAGACAGGAGTTTCCTGACTCAGTAAAAAGAAGGAAGCAAAATGCAAAACCGGCATGGTTGTATAGCCAGGAGTTGGCTAAAAATGAGAGAAACACAACCCTGGCAGGATCAGAAGAAATAAACGTAAGGGAGGAAGTTAGTTTGCCTGACAAGGGAAAACGTGTGACTAAACTCCTGAATGCAGAATTCTCTACATTTTTCATACCTAATTTTGCATCAATACGAATTATTTCCTTTAATTAGGTTCCTGGACTTGATGATGTCCGTATGGGGTTGAGGGAGGTTTTTCCCTCTCCTGATACTCTCTTTTCCATTTCTTTCCATCCTCAGAGAGCCCRGCGACAGCTTGTGCCACCTCCACTCCCCACGGCCGCCGCCTCTTGGTGCCCGCTTTCCCTGTGAGAGCCGCTTTTCCTCCTGGCAGTATCAGCCCCATCCGAGCAGCCCCTGGTGACCATCCCTCCGAGTCTGCCGAGGCCACGGCGGAGATTCCTGTGGCTCAGACCCGCCGTGGGAGCCCACCGCTTCGTAGACCTTCCAAGAGCAGTTCGAGCAGTTCTCAGCGCTCTCCCTCGTCCGCCGGCGATCCCAGAGGAGACAAGGAGAAGAATCTCTACGCCGGGCACAAGGTAAAGACGAAAAGCTGGCAGCAGGACAGCAGCCTGGMACAAGGCCTGGAACTTGGTTCTAAGATGCCCGCTGTGTTTGTAAGTAAGAGCAGTGGAGAGCCCCATGTCCCCCAGGCCCAGCCTAGTGAGAGTACGTCTGAGCCACACCACAGAAAATGCACCACCAAGCTGTACGTGGGCAGACAGAATCCAGGCTTCAAGGACATAAGGACAAACACCACAGCAGCCTAGTATTCAGCCTACCAAAGCCATAACCTTGTGGAACAAGGAAAGAGGTTCTCATTCTACTTGTTCTCTCCTCCCAGGACTCTTCTTCTCGTTCTACTTGTATGTCATTGCTCAAAGATCTTGACCCTAGTGACTCATCCTATTCCCTGCAATCAGCAGAGCCCCTTTAGTTGATGCTGTCCCCTTTTCTAGCAGAGCCAGCTGAGAGAGAGGAAAAATCCTGCAGCATGGCAAACCTGAGGTGGGTCCCCTGGCATATTGCTGAAGCAAAGTGCTTTCCCAAGTAAAAGGCTGCACCCTCCCAGCCCTCTGCAAACTAATACTGCAGTAAAATTCATGGAGAATGTGTGGGGAGAAACAAAACTCCATCTCTGCTGTTCCACGGCACCCTTAAAACCAAATGTCCCATCTGCCTCCACCCAGGCAGTCTTTGGCTCATGCTGGGGGAACCTGAGTGGATGGTCGGGGAGTCACCTCAGAATTTCTCTGTCCCTTTACCGCTTTCCACTGTGCACTACCAAGCACTTTTGTCAACTCCACCAGCATGAACTCTGTAAGGCAGCCTAGTTTGTACAAGGCTGCACCTTCCCAGCGCGCTGCGCCCCGCGGCGCAGCTTCCTTATCAGAAAACCTGGAGCGAGGCAGGTTCTGCCATCTTTCCATTTGGGGAAAAGAACCAAATCAGCAGCGGTTTGCAGCCAGGCTTGGAGTCTGTACTGGCAGAATGCTCCCACGCGAGACGCAGGGGCACGCAGCCAGAAGCCCAGCGCTGGCCTCGTGGTGGCGAGCAGCGCTTCCACCGGCACCGGCTCCTGCCTCCTTGCTGAGCCCCGAGGCCCAGGCTGCCAGGAAAGCCACGTCGGTGGAGCAGCCGGTGGCATCAGGAGCCTGGCTAATCACACATCCTGACAGGCCTTGCCACCAGCAGGCATGTGCCTGGCACAATTTGTCCTTTGGCAGCTGCAGAAGCTGCACAGCCTCCCCAGCGTGGCTGGCACCCCGACCAGCAGCGGCTGCCTTGGCCACTTGCACCATTTCTGAACAGGTCCCCGTTCGGCTAGTGTTKTGGGAACCCCTACATGCACCATCAGGAAAGAGCAAACAGAAGTTTTAATTGCTCTGCTTAATTACTCATGTTTTCCATGATGCATGGACACCGCTGATTGAGTCTACCCCTTCTTCCATACTGTCGTGCTTGCAGGTAGGGAAGGACAAGACAAAGCATGGTCTGAAGTGACTCATGTTAAGCCTTTCCCTTTCCTAAGCATGGAGCAGCTCAATCTGTGAGTATCCATCATGAAAAAGTTTAGAGCAGACCAGGATATCTGGGGAAAACCACTTAAAGGGAACAGTCAGCATAGGGAACAGTCACCCTAAGAATTCAGACCTGATCCTAAACTCCCATTTCCCAGCCAGTGTCCTGCTCAGGGGTCTGCACTTCCCTGTATTCCCAAATACTTGCCTTTATCTTTTCAGAACAGGATGGTGTTTTGCCTAGTATTATTTTGGCATAGGATGGGCTTTTGGCCCTAGGCTGAGTTTATTCTGGAGAGGTCACTTCAGCAGAGAGCAGCACAAGGGCATCTGCTTTATGCTGAGAAATCTCCRTGCGCTCCAGAGACCGTGTGAGGACTTGGGTCAGCTCCTCAGGAAGCCCCCAGCACTGTCACACGGCCAAACCCACGCACCTGTGACCATRTAGTGGTCAATTCCAGCAGCCCTTGCCTTCAGGAGGAGGGCAAAATGCTGCATCTGCTGCTGGAAGCACATGGTTCTTGCAGAACTGGAACTGGGGAAGGGAGTCCTCTCGCACAGGGGGTAGGTGCCATGCGCCATTTCCTCTCTTAAGCTCAGGATTAGCGCAACAAGGAGCTGGCAGAAGGAGGTTTTTCAGCCTCCAGCAGTTGTGCTTACGGCAGGTTGGGTTACACCATCTCTGAGCTCTCCCTGCTCCTTCTGGTTGGAGAGGCAGCCAGGCCATCTTCAAGAGCAGTATTACTGGACCCCTGCTCTCCTAGGCTCTTGGTACCACAGAGAGCTAGAGATCTGGGATTTTCAGCTAAATATCTCCATGGGGTGGGGAATGACAGAGTCCTGAGAGCTGTCCTGAGCCTCGAGAGGAACCTGGGACTCTGATCGCTCTGGGATGGGTGGAGGTTGGAAGGCTGGGCTGCTGCGTAGTTGTAGCCTGCAGATAGGTGTGAAACGTGTATCTGAGAAGAGGTCTGTGGACCAGGCTTGGGCCAGCTTCAAACGTCTGCTCCGCTTGGTGGGCGCAAGAAGGATCTGGCGTTACTGGACTTCAGCCAAGGATGGTCAACCAACTGTGGAGGGCTGACGTCGAAGACGTTCAGCCCCTGGTCAGACTCTGCCCTCGTCTGCTCCTCCTTCTTGGGAAGCCACGTGGTGTGTGGCACAAACAAGGCAAGTATTAGAACGGCTTTGCTGGAGCTGAAGATTTATAGGGTGGAAGTGACACCCAAGAATGTCTTTTGGTGTAGAGTGCGGAGGTAATTCAGTACCTTAAGGCCAGCTGGGTGGCCCATGGACATGCCTTCCAAGCCAAGCACTCCCCAGCAAAGTCCTGGAGAACTATCTGACAAAGCAGCATAGGTTTGATCACCAGCCCCAGGTTGCTTTACAGGCCGTTCCTACCATTCTTCGTGTTGCCTGGTTTTTCACTCTTGAAGGAGCTGAAATGAGGAGACTTGACTTTTCATTGAATTATACAAGCCATCGGTCAGCAAAAACGAAGTCTCCCGTAGCTGTCAAAGGCATCATGTTTTAAATTTCCACGAGGGGATGACACAGGTCGCACTCAGATGGCAGCTTGCCTTGCTACCACAGCCGGTCACACGTGCTGGCAGCACTGGGGTGTTTGGAAGCAATGCCTGSGAGTCAGCACCCGTTGCACTACTTATCTCCAGGCACCACGACATCTTCTCACTACCAGGTCCCCGTTAGACAACACGATTCCTGTTGTTGCTCCTCATGTCTGCTGTGATCCAAGAGAGCTGCACGCTAATGCTGGGCTCAGGGGGTTTGAGGGCCAGCAGGCCCTCCAGGCAGAGCTTTGGTAATTGCTGTCCAGCAGGTGCCCCTGAGCAGACCTCACGTGTTTTCTTATCCTTTGTCCACGCAGAAGGTGCCCCAAAGTCATGTATGGAGCTCTTTATTAGCTCTGTCCACAATAAAATTTTCTATGCCCTTTGCTAAATAGTTTCCTCATATTATATATAATATATATATATWTTTTTTCTTTTTTGCAGGAGTTTGTTTAGCTGCTCAGGTGATGGCTCCTAGGGCGTTGGGGGCACGTCTGCACATGGGGCTGCCTTCCCTGAAGAGTAGGGAGTCAGTGGCCTTGCCAGGAGACCTGTAAGTTCAGGCGGGTTCCTGAGCCGCGGCAGGGTGAGATCCGCAGGGAGGCCGGTCGGGAGGCACGTGGTGCTGCAGGAAGGTCGCTGTGTCCTCCAGAGGCAAGTGGAACTGGGACCCTGGCCTGAAGAAGGCTCTTGGATGTTCAGAGAAAGGTCTCGGATGTCTCAAGGTGGCAGCTTTTGAGTGCAGTAGGAAAGGGAGCAGATGTCCTGTCCTGCTAGCAGGATCCTCAGGTTCAGCATTTAGTTTCCTTCCTCTTTCTGCCTTTTACTCGTCTACCAAGAGGAGTCTCTCAGATTGAGAATGCACCTTCAGCCTCAGTTTCTCCTGCCATGCACAGAGACACTGACATGAGAAGGGTCCCTTCCCCAGAGCCACCAGCAGCCACTGGTGCTGCTGGCCTGTACAGGTAGTGCAGACTTCCCTGCAAGGAGAGGGAGCCCATGCATTTGGTTGGAAGCCAAGGAGATGCTCACAGGTGCCATGGAAGTCCGTGATGTAGGACTTTTGCTGGGAAGTGAGGACATCCTTTAGCTGTGACAGGAAACCTCCCTCCTGGCTTTTTCCACTACATCAAATTGTAGCTGGATGGGAAGACAGCAGACCTAGCACCTTCATGTCCTCCCATCTTCACCCCTCTCGAGCTCTGCAGGAGCTTCAGCCTTGGTGCCTCTGAGCACCTTGGCCAGCAGTAGCTAAAGCAGTTGGGGCAAGGTCTGCAGCCAGAGCGAGGACTCTCCCAGCAGCAGAAGGCAGCGCCTTSGCTGGCTGCCTCCACCAGGAGATTAGGCAGTTCTTGATCAAGAGCGAACACCGCGTTTCTCAGGGCAGGGATGACTTTCGGGAGTGCTCTGCAGCGCTGGGCTATGAATCCCGGTCGCTGTCCCCGCGCCAGCTGCTCTGCCAGGCCTCGCGGTGCCTTCCAGCCTATGCAGGACACAYGGATCCTGCTCGGTCTCATCTCCAGGTCTGGCTTAGTCAGGGTGTCCTTCCCTTGGGAACTGCCTGCRGGGATGAGCCCAATCCCGGCGTGGTGCGAGCGCTGGCGAGCCGGCCGTCCCCAGCTGCTTCGGCTCCGCGTGGCCCCAGGAGAGGCAGGAGTGGAGCAGCTTGCTGAAGAGGTTTCTGGGGCAACAGACAGCCTGGAAACATCCCGACCTTTGCTGGAAATCGCCAAAAGGGAAAGGTCCCAGGGGAGCTTCGCAAGGCGCTGTGTCCACGCTCCTCCCCTGCCCATGCCAAGGACCTGTGTAACATCCTCCCTGGCTCCTGCCTGGGCCAGGGGCTCGGGAGCAGGGAGCCCGCACAGCCTCCTCCTGCCGGGCTCCTGTCCGGGCTGCGGGAGGAGCGGCCGGAGGCAGCCAAGGGCCCGGCCGCTGCAGCCAGTTGGGCCGGCTCCCGTCCCAGCAGGGCTGTCGCGGGGACAACAAACACACAACAAACCCAGGCCCATAGAAACCGAAACCTGACCTGCTCGACCCAGCCCCGCGGGAGGGTGGCGGGGCGCCCCGCCAGCCCTGGCCTGGTGCCCCTTTCCTGCCGGGACGTGCAGCTGCGCCGCCGCGACGCGCCGCAGCCGTGGCAGCCCCCGAGGACTGCTGCCGAGCRTGCGGCGCAGGGGCCTGCAGGAGAGCTGGCCCTGCAGTCCCCAGCTGCACGAGGATGGGCTCCTGCGGTGCCCGGGGCTGGGCAGTCCTACCAGAGCTGCTGCTGTCCTGCTGCTGCAGCCTGCACTYGTGCTGTGCTCTGCCATGCATGGTGAGCTCGCACCACCCCAAAGGCTTGCAGACCCCGAGAACTTACACATGACCTATGCACAGAGGGCTTCACTGTGTCCACAGCACTGGGCGAACATGAATCTCCTACCTTTCTTCTGCCACTTGCTTAGAGAAAGCAATTTTCCTCCACTATCCTGCAAGAAACCAGGGATACTGACTCCTATGATGCTTAGGTGGTCAAGAAGACCCCATGGTATGGAAGCACTTTAGCACCCCGCTGTAAACCTGGGTTCTGCACAAACACCAGTCCTCTCATTCCCAGGGCCCATAGCTTCATGTCCTGTACTTGCAAAGTCAGGGATTTCCACCACATCATGAGATGCTCTGTGCTGTTGCTCTGGTTCACATCCTTGTTCTCATCTCTTGCTGTGCATTCTGTGTCAYGTGCCCCTTCCCACGGTGTCACGGATCCTGGTTTCAACTGTGTTGGGTATGTTGTGTGCTTGGCTGGAAGAGGTTGCGTCCTGGAATAGGAGACATGTAGAAATCAGGGCTTGGAGAAGTGATGGGAGAGAAATCAAATGGAGATCCTGACCTGAGAGCGAGCAGAAAAAGAATCTGAGCCCAAAAGGATCTGAGCCCAAGGGAGATTTTGAGGATGCTCCAAAGGAGCTCCCGGGCAGCGCTGGTGGGAGCGGGGGCCTGGCAGGCGTTSCTGCAGGACCTTGCAGCCCTGGGCAGCTGTGGTGTCACCAAAAGCACCTCATTGGAAGCTGGAAGAGGGAGGCAGCGAAAGGCAGATCCGTTGCACCCACCGGCCCTCCTCGCAGCCCCGGCTCCCCGCTGTAACCTGCCTTGGAGGAAGAAGGGGGATATCCCTGTCCCTGGGGAAGTGTTTGCCCCGTTGCCCTCTTGGGCAGCCATAGGTGAGAGTCATGGAGATGGCTGCTCCCTCCCAGGGGATGACGACTGGATTTGCCTTGCTTGAACTCCATGAGGTTCCTTGACCAGGGCTGGACCCTGGCACGTGGCAGGGTAGCTGATGCCCCCAGCCCTGTCCTATGTGCTGGGCCAGTGCCTCTGCACTCGCYCTGCGCTGGTTCCTTTGCAGTTTCACGGGGTCTCACTGCAACACAGCTGGGGCTTCCAAATACCTCCAGCCAGGACGGCCCTAGCCAGCCCTTCTGATGATGTTCCACTAAGCGTGGTAAGAAAGGACCTGGAGAACATTGTCACTAATTGACCTCAGGATAGCTTTTCTTCTGCCTCATCTTGCAATAGGCATTTGTCCTCCTGCCTCCTTTGCCCACCTCTGCAAGCCGACACCCGGAGGGCCGGCGGAAGAGTTTGGACATCCCAGGTTGGGYGATCGCTGCTTTTAAGGTATCGTGTTCTTTGTGAAGAGCCACGCCTGTGCCACCAGCTGGGATGGACTGGGTGGCAGGAGGATGAGGATGATGGGGGCCATAGCAGGAGCGGAGTGACAGGAGGGGGGTGACAGGAGGAGGGGATGGCAGGAGCGGTGACAGGAAGAGTGGCAGGAAGGAGATGGCAGAAGAGGCGGGTGGCAGGAGGAGGGGATGGCAGGAGGGGTGACAAGGGGGCAGGAAGGGGCTGACGGGGGTGACAGGAGGACGGGTTGTGAGGAGGGGGAGTGGCAGGAGGGAGACGAGGGGATGACAGAAGGAGGTGGCAAAAGCGGGTGACGGGAGGGAGGTGACAGGAGGGAGGGGTGACAGGAGGGGGTGGCGGGACGGGATGGCGGACGGGGGTGTCACGGGAGGGGTGTCACGGGAGGGGTGACACGGGAGGGGTGACACGGGAGGGGTGGCACGAGGGGTAGCCCTGCGCGGGGTCACGGAGGCGCCGCCGGGCCGGGGCAGAGCCGGGTCCGTGGCGAGCAGGTCGGGCCGGGGCAGGGGCAGGACCCGGTTCGTGGCGGCCGGGCCGGGCCGGGCAG